CTAGTTTATTACAATTCCCATTACTATCAAACAGCGCCGCTCCGCAATTACAGTCTTCTAAACACGATTTGCTGCAATCTGCTTCCGTCATTGGCACTACGGAGTAAGGCGGTACGGGAAAAACCAGATCCTTCATTTGAATAACCGTGTACTGTTTCACTGCCTCTTTCCAGTCTCTGCAACCTTCTGGACCAAAGTCACCCTGGCAGCCGAGGAACTTTTGATTGGGATCGATAAAGTTGAAACCAGGAAAACAAAGGCAATCATGTTCACTACCCATGAGAGCGCAATAGCTGTTGAAGCCGCAGAAACCCTTGACTTCACACTGGTCTTGCAACGCCGACCACTCAAGCTTCATGGTGGCGCTACCACCGCTGCTAAAGCTATGAGAATACAGCAGGAAATTACCATTGGGGTCAAGTGTTGCACGGTAAACAACCGCCCCGTGTCCGCTGGAGCTGGACGACGACAGGTTGACTAGAAGGAGTAGCAAAGAACCCTGTTGGCTGAGGAATAGGTTGCCGTTGTAATCGAGATTTAAGTTGATGCTGTCTCCTCCGGTATATGTGCTCGTCCAATCATACGCGTTGAGGGATTCGGCTGTGGTGTTTATCGGGTAAGCAACAAGGTTACCATCTGACTGCATATAGAGAATAAATCGTCCACTTGAGTGGTCAGTGTTTGATACACTGGAAACCAACAAATTGCCGTTGGTTAGATTCTGACCACCCAATATGGTGTCAGTGGGAGAATCGAAGCTCTTCCAGATCACATTTGAAACATTGTCGTAGAGCACAAAATTGCCAGAGTCGAGCAATGAAGCAAAGGAAGCGGGATCAGACGCGCCGGTGATGTTTATCTCTTCACCTTTTTCTGTCCGCAGAACAAGCCAACCCTCCTTGGTCAAAGCTAGGGTAGCATTCGAGGAGACCGGTGGGTCGTCGCGTCTTGCAGTCCAGACAACTGTCTTTTCGGGGTTTCCAACCAACCTAATTCCGACGGAGAAGCCTTTGCCTTCTGGGTAGAAGCCAAATTCGAATCGGCCGGAGGATGAGAGCCATGAGTTGGGTTGAGTGGATGGGGAGAGCGAAGAGCCCAAATTGATCAAATTTGAAAGATTTTGTTGAGCCCCAACAACTAAACAAAGTACGGAGAGAAACACAAACACAAAGAATACAGGCAGCTTAGACGCCATTAGAGATGGAGAGGGTGCAAGACAGAACGCTGCAGCTTTAAGGGAGTGGGGAGGGTCCAAATCTGCTACAAAGAAGAAGTTTCGTGATATGTTACAAAACGGTTACAACACGTCAGTCAAAGAGTGCAGAGTGCTCCCAGGTATGCTAAAATTTCTTTCTCGAGAGTGATTTGTAAGTCAACGTTGATCTCGACCAAATTCTACAATGGGGTGGTCATTTCTGAAGACTAAAATAAATTGAGTAATTGACTTGTCCGGTCGCATTCTTTCAAACAAATGTGCAAAAACACCCTTTCTCTGAAGGCCAAAGTTGAGATTAACCCCATTAAATTAAACCACCCCCATTCACAGAAACTTCATTTCTATAGTGAACAAGGTGCTGCCAGAAGCGACCCTCCCTCCGCCTCTCTCTCTCTCACACACACACACACAGACACACGCACACAATTTCACTTTGGCATTTGTTTTCTTTTTCCTTTTGTTGTTTACAATAAATCCGATTCTCATAAAGTAGTGGCTTTAGTAGGTTCTACTTTTTGCAACATCAATCATCATTGACTTCAGAGATGTTTGGGATCCATGCTGACTCTTTTGATGATCAATGATTTCTCTCAGAAGAGAAATCAGAGAAATTGCTTATTTGGTATCAGCCGATTTTTCAAAAATCAGTTATAAATTTATTTGCTATTGATTATCAACAAATAATAAAAATGGTCATTTACAATATTTGCTATTAATTATCAACAAATAATAAAAATTGGTCATTTACTAAAATAATATATAAATAATCCCAATTAAATCTAACAATGGAACCCAATTTTTCCAGGTTGGGTCGGGTTGAGTCGTCCTCAAATTTAGAAAGCTAAATGTGAGATCTTAACACTATTTTTTCGGGGTTGGTTGGATCGGATTCCCGGGTTGGATCAACTTTTTGCCACTACCAGCGACCCCCACTTCTTAAACAAGGTATTTTTTTTCATGGTTTTTAAAGCCCTAAGAGGTGAGGCCAGCCAGCGTCAGAGGTGTGCCCCGCTGATTAGGTCCGGGATACGGGAGGCCCCAGACAGCCAAGAAATATAAAGTCTCTCTGCTCAACACAGGCCACAGTACCACTCTCTCCAATTGGCAAATTTGAGGGCAAACCGTTCAATTCAGCTGCCCTTCGCTAAAACTACAAAAAATACAAACGTCGCGGAAAGTTTCTCACGACATTTTACGCAAATGTCGCGCCTATAAAAGTCTGGAAAAGTTTAGGTGAAGTTTATGGGAATTTTCAGTGATCCTTTGCAAATGTCACTGAAATTGGTTCGACATCGAACTTGAAAATGACCATAGCAGCTCTGGAATCCACATTATTAGTTTGCCATGAAAATATGTTATTCTCTATAATCACACCAGTTCGTTGCCTTTATCGGCCATTCTTTATATGAACCACGTTAAATTAAGAATGAAATTTAACCATGAAGAAGAAACAGAGTCCTGAGTCTCTTGACAAAGGTAAACGAGCACCAGGAAATAAGGAAACGATATCTTGGTATTTTCTGCTTTTGTTGTGATAGATAATGGAGACTATATATGAGAAGATGAAAACGGTAAGCGAACAGCACAGTCGCACCAGGAAATGAGGAAACGATACCGCATAAAAAATAACAGCAACATCAGTTTAAGGACAAAGAAATTCAACTTCACAGTTGCAGAGAACGAAAAACAACACTATTGTTGCCTTCTCGCAGGATTGAGGTGAGATTGGATGACATATAAAGGATAGTACAACCGCGAAAGAAAGGTAGCCTCTGCAACATCAAGTTTTTCATGCATTTGCTGTCTCTACTTTCTTCAGAACCATCAAAAACTGTTGAAGACCGATCCCTTTAAGTTGTTAGCAGAGGCGTATAGCTAGGGCATGATAGCGACAACGTTTAACATGGCTCAACTCAAGAGGTACTTAGGAAAGATGAGGGATCAGGAGGAATTGGAATTTCTACAGTCCCTTCCAACATTAAGACCACCTTCATCGAGGGACGGAGGGATGGCTCATCCTGGATGCACCAAAGACCCACAGTAACCATCCTCTCCAATCCTCTCTTCTCCACCTCTTCATCACCCAGTAGCTTGTTTAGCTCACCAGCCATGTAACAGTCGTAGACCCTATCTGTAAGAACTATTTCATCCTCAGGAAGACTGATATCCACACTACGACGACAACATACCATCTCCAGCAACACAATTCCAAAGCTGTAGACATCTGCTTTCACTGTTATGGGCATGTTCCGATGCCACATACCCCCTTGTCCCCCTAACGCCTGTGTACGTCCCAGTTTGGTCGAGCTTCAATAGTTTTGCCAATCCGAAGTCTGCAATCTTGGGGCACATATTCTCATCTATGAGTATGTTTTGGGGCTTTATATCGCAGTGGATGATTTGGGTCTTACACTCTTCATGCAAATAGAAGATACCCCTTGCTATATTCACACCGATTCCCACTCTTTGATCCCAACTTAGTACTCTTTCAGCTTTGAAGAGGAACTCTGCTAGTGATCC